CACGCACGTACAAGCGATATAATTTGAATCAGTTTTTAATATTTCTCAGATTAATAGTGAATAAGTAATGGGTTCTTACCAATGCGAATATATCAGACTATTAGAAACATGGATAGAATCATCGGTAAAAATGTGGCCTTTTTTATTTTAAAAAAATAAAAACATTTATCTACTTATAGGTGATGCCACGTGTCGTGCTGCCAACAACTCATGCTTTGTACTATGGCACTACAAAAAAACAGACTTTAGGTGATGACTTTCGGCGGCGACAAAAAAAAATCACTGCTAAAAACTAAGACCTTTTGTCGCTGCTGAAAGTGGACCTTCAGCGGTGACTTTTTTTTGTTACCGCTGAAAGTGTAATATAATAATATATATTTTATTTTACAATATTAATAAACAAATTCAATCTGGCTCAGCAGCAAAAAGATTGGACATGAAGGAGGCGGTCACAAGTTCGAACCTTGAAGAAGACACATTAAGGTGAAAATATTTGGACGATGATGTAACGGGAAGAAGTGATGTGACAATGACGTGGAGGTGGCTAGTAATGATGTGGTCGCCGGTGACGATGACGTGCAAGTCAATTGGCGTTGGTAAAGCCAATTCTTCTTAGACATTTCTAAAAGTCGCCGCTGAAAGTCTATTTTTTTGTAGTGTGGGAATGGGGAAGGGGTTTCAAAACGCACGTAAATCACAACAGTTAAAATGTGGAGTTTGGTGCAGTGCATATGAAATTAAACAAAGCATGAAACTGGAGCTGCTTCAATCGGCAATGACGTGTTGTGATAACATCTTGAAGCAACTAATTTGATATCTACGATGGTTTTATCTTCATTACCATTAATGAATCCTATGTAGGAGAGAAGAACCCGAAGAACTGTATGGGATCCAAGCCATATCAATAAAACATGTACGCATACATGTCATCTTCCTAGTGACTTCAACGTAACCAAACAGCAACAATGAGCCGGTTAGGGGGTGTTTGGCTTTTTTGCCAAACACCCCTTTTTTTTCAAAACCAAGGTTTGTGGCAAAACCTTGGTTTTGGCCAACAAAACCTTGGTTTGGGATAAGCTCGCGGGGGTAGCTCCTGAGGGAGAATTATTGGCTCCAACGGTACATTAGCTCACGGTTTGGGAACAAGCACGCAGAGGTCCGTTCAGCTCTCACGGTTTGGCCATTCAACCCGGAACGCCTCTTCTCTCCCATTCATCGCCGTCGCCCTCATAGAAGATCCGTTCAGCTCACCAATATTCACCGGCTTGCCGGTGTTGCTGGCCACGGTGCGCACCACCACGTCCACCTCGTCTCGCACCGGCTGCCACGATTCCCCCCGCTTGCGACTGAAGAGCTTCATGACGCAGAGCTTGCACATCTGGCACCAGAAGGGGCCGTAGTGAGCGAAGGCCATGTCGGCGTGGTCGTAGGTGAGGTAGCTGATGGCTATGGTGGCGGGTCGGTTGGAGAAGATGTTCTCGTGGACCTGAAGAACTTGGCAAGCGGCGTCGGGGTCAGATTTCTGATTCACTTCTTCCCATTCGTTCCGAGTTGACAAGGGAAGGCATCAGGCGTGGCTGAACCATCTACGATGGGGGGAGCAAATGCACAGGGAAGAAGCTTAGATAAGAGAATACGTTCTCGCATCGCTTTTTTTGAGGTGGAAAACGCCGCCGTATTGGGATTAATATATATACACGATTACACGCTAATTTTTTATAGGATTAATATATATTTATTTATAGGATATATATACACACTAATTTTTTATAGGATTAATATATATACACACTATATTTCTTTGGCAAAATAAATCATTTTCCTAAAAACATATTTATTTATAGGATTAATATATACACACTAATTTTTTATTATTTATATTATTTATACCTTATTTATTATGTTGCCAAAATATATATTATTAATAAATTTATTACTTAAAATAAACATATATTATGAAATATATCTTATATGTAATTATCATTTAAACTTATGTCTTTTTTAGTAATTTCTACATATCAAAAAGCACTTCTGACATTAATTATCCAAACACTCTCACTTTACCAGAATCACTTTTTCAAAAAATCTATTCTTTCAAAATCTATTCTCTCCAAAATCTATTCTCTAAAAGCTATTCTACAAACCATGATTTTGCCTCATCCAAACACCCCCTTAGTGTCTTCGTATTCATAACTTTAGGAATTCAATCGATATTAATTTCTTTATCGGATGCTTGTTTTTATAATTTTTCAGGTGCTTCTCTTTCTCTTTTTCTCAATTTATCAACTGTCAGATTACACAATATTTTGTGGTTAAAGTGTTTTTTTAAGTTCCTCTAATACTCTAATGTATTTTGTAATTCATTCATCATTCTGAAGTATTTCGTAGATGTATCCATCATACTTTAGGATGCTTCATGTACATTTATTTAACAAACTTTTTGAGGAGTTAATAGTGAGATTAAAACTGCTCTTAAAAAAAAAAAGAAAGTATCTCAACTAATAGTAACTTTTCCTTTCTGGCCTAAGAAGTGGGACTTCCATTATTCCTTCTGGCCCTTGAAAATGAAACTTCAAGTGGTGCCTTTCCCTCAACTTGGTCTTTCTTCATTTCACTTTCGAGGCCCTTCATTACCGCCCAGTGTAGGAACAATCTACCTTGGCCTTTGGTATGTGTTCACCAATCACCAGAAGCAATTCCATTAGGACCCAATCCAATCCTTTATGCAACGCCGTGCTTTCATTTATTTCATATGATATATAATTAAGGAGAGATTTCACTTTCTTTTAAACAAAGAAACTCTACGCACACTTTTGTTCTTCGGGTTATTTAGGGCCTGTTTGTTTACCTATTCTGAAAACAGTTTTTTGTTTTTAAAAACAAAAAAATAAAAAAATCATGTTTGGTAATTTATTTTCACTTAACTGTTTTTAAAAACAAAAAAAATAGAAATTTGTTTTAAAAAACTAAAAACAGGAAACAATTTTTAGATGTTTTTTAATTTTTTGTTCCACGTTTTCTATTTCCCAATCGAATCGAAACCTTCTGCTCGACTCTTCTTCTTTGCTCGCTCGACGGCCATTGGAGGCTAGGAGTGCAGGAGTGCTCGCCGACTTCTCACCCTTGTGCTCATCTTCTCCTCACCCTCCGGTCTTGGTGCTCGGTGGTCGCCATCTTCTCCGCTTGGTGGTTGCCGTCTTCTCCACTCGGTGATCGCTGTCTTCTCCGCTTGTTGCTTGGTGTCTCCAATCTCTTTCATCTTCCTTCCTTAGTCCTAAATCGGTGAATCATCAGCCTCTACTTTCTCATTGTCTAATTGTTTTAGTGGGTTTTTATCTAAAACTTGATCTACATCATTTAATGGATTTTTGTGTAGCATTTGAGGTCTAAATATGAATGACTCTAGAACAAGATTGCATTTCCTAAAAAGGATTATGATGATCCCACCACCGAACTGAAGTTTCAGGGCAGCAAAACAAAAACAAATAAAATAAAATCAAAAAACAGAGTTAGGAATATGCAGGTCAACCGCCGGGGTCCATCTGTAGAATAGATGAGCTGGCCAATCATAAATTGATTTTTTACAATCCAAAGGCGTCGTCGATATTGTTGTTATTATTAGTAGTGGGGAAGGAATGAGTGGTATTTGGTAGGAGAGTTATTTGCAGTGAAGCTAGGAATGTGGGGAAAGGATACACAGGGGAGGGCTTAGTCGTGAGTGTGTATGAGGTCAATTAATGGTGAAGGCTTGGGGCGGGATTAACTTGTAGCTAGCAAGTAACAGAGAGTGAGGTGGGAGGGAAGTTATGATGAAGAGGCAGGGGTATATATTTTGCATTGTTGTTCACATAGATACTGCGTTATTGTGCAAAGCTCCTCTGGATCTCTCTTACGTTTTTTGATCTTTGTATTTATCTCCTTGGTATATTTTCTTTTTGATTAGATCCAGTATTTGCGTGCTTGATTTCTCAATTATGGACATGTCACATTATTTTCATCAAAGTTCTTTTCTCCTCCAAAGATTTTAATTTTCATTCTTGCTTAAATTTTCATTTTATGTCTGCATGTAGAAAAACTCACACTTGTTTGTTTGAAAGTTGAAAGTCAAGTTTTACTTATAAAATCTTTTGATTTCAGTTCAACTTATGTCTGCTCATTTGAACTTTTGCAAGTGGAGCTACAGAGGCTGACTGTGTGGGGTCAATGGTTCTTCACTTTAGTCTTCTAAACAAGTTCGGGTGGAGCCACCAAACCTTTTCCTCATCCCATTGCCCTTGAATAATACATACAAATAGCATAAAGCAACCTATACAACCTTAAATGCTTGTCAAATCTCAATGCAAGTCTTGTAATTTTTACTCACGTCATCAGTGCGCTCACTTATCAACCACAAGTATTGTCTTCATTAACACGGAACAGTTGAATCTTGTAACTTTATGGATGAGTTATATATTTTACTCTTCTATTTCTTATCTTTCCTTTTAGTCAGCTTTGTTTGATTGAAAATACATTTGCTCTGATTTTCCTTATCCTGTGCATCCTTTTGATAGGTTCCTTTATTTTTAGTTTAGAAGGTGTTCACTCAAATATTTTCTTTTATCAACATCCAGCTACTCAACAAGCTAGTTTATTATTTTACGTATTGCTTTGGAATGATGGATTAATTTGTGAAGTATGTTAGTTATGCTAATATATTAGTCTGTCTTTAATATAGTCTCGTAGAGGAAGGCTAGAAGATTTTTATGACAGATGCAAAGTTAGGAAGATTTGAGTTATAGAAACTTATAACAGTACATGGTTAGAAACACTTTGTCAAAGGGTTGCTCCTTGTTTATTGATGCTAAGTAATTTTTGCTTCTTGTTCATTGAAATATGCAATCTCAACTCCATGGATATTTAGGCCATCTAGTTAAGTTATGCAGTGCCATTGTTTAACCCTTCAGCTATAAATAAAACCTTTTCCCTGTTTTGAATTCTACAGTTGATTGATTTTATGCATGATGGACATAGATGGTAATTTATCAAACAATGAAATGCACAACTTTGAGGGATCCACATCTTCATCAGAGTCAAGTGAAGAAGACTTTGAGCTTTCAAAATTTATGATAATTAATATGATATGTGAATATGAAAGTAAGTTTCTTAATAAGATTCCAGTTCGTACATCTGCACTTACTGGTCGAGAATTTGTTAATGAGCTCATGCAAGGATCAGGAACTACTTGTTATGAATTGTTGCGAATGGAACGGGCATGTTTTATTAGTTTATGCAATGAGTTAAGGACTAAAGGTTATTTGGAGGATTCAAGAGGCGTGATGTTGGAAGAGAAGGTTGCAATGTTCTTATATATTATAGGCCATAATCTTAGACAAAGGGTAGTTTCAGATCGATTTCAACATTCTACTGAAACAATTTCACGCCACTTTAAGGAAGTGCTAAGATCAGTATGTCAATTGGGAAAAGAGCTTATAAAACAAGAGACGACAGAGTTGCCTGCACATGTTAGAAATAATCCAATGTACTATCCTTGGTTTAAGGTAAGTCTTAATTATTGATATTTAGGTGTTAGTTATTACTAGTTTTTTTTTCTCATGACTATCTATGTGTGTATATTTCCAATGTAGAATTGTGTAGGTGCAATTGATGGTACACATATAAGTGCTTGGGTATCTTCTGAAAAGCAAGCATCATGTAGAGGGAGAAAGACGGTCGTCACACAAAATGTTATGTGCATATGTGACTTCAATATGATGTTCACTTATGTTTATTCAGGATGGGAAGGTAGTGCGCATGACGCAAAAGTTTTGCTAGATGCAATTACTAATCCTGAAGCAAATTTCCCATGGCCTCCTAGAGGTATAATTCTAAGTGAAATCCTTTTCATATGCCATTTATCCCTTCCTAAATCAATTTTTTGCAATTGTTGTAGGATCATTTTATCTTGTGGACTCGGGATATTCTTGCACTGGGGGATTTCTTCCACCATACAGAGGAGAAAGATATCATGCTCAAGAATACCAAGGTAGAGGTCGCCAAGCTAGAAATGCTAAAGAGCTTTTTAATTATAGGCATTCTTCATTAAGAATGACGATTGAGCGTTGTTTCGGGGTTTTAAAAGCTCGATTTCCAATTCTAAAATTAATGCCATCATACAAGCCTTCAAGACAACGTCTTATAGTGGTGGCATGTTGTGCTATACATAACTATATACGCAAGTGGAGTCGACGTGATTTGTTGTTTACAGAATGGGAAAATATGAATCCGGCACAAGTGGAGGAGTTAACTGTAAATACAAATTTAGAAATTCAAAGTTTGCTGGGAAACGCAAATGTAGAGAGTACAAATTATAACTTGGACAACTTGTCAAGATTATCTGATCAGAGTGCAGCAGAGATGTCATCATATCGTGATCAAATTTCTACTAGGATGTGGTTGACTCATCACAATTCTATGAATTAGATGTTAATTGATATGATTAGATGTTATTTTTAAGATTTTGTTTAAAACAATGTTCATTTAAATTTTAACCATGTTAGTTTTATTTGTAGTAAATCATTTTTGTGTTATTTATTAGTCATTCTATTTGATTTTTTTATTAAATTAATTTTACATTTTAAAGTTGATATTAAAAAAATTAAAATTAGTCATCCAAACAAGTTTTTATATTTTATTGTTTTTAAAAACAATTTTTAAAAATAATTATCCAAACATGTTTTTTTGTTTTTTGTTCTCAAAATTTGTTTTAAAAAACAGTTTTATAAAATTGTTTTGAAAAAAAAAACAGAAAACATAACCAAACAGGCCCTTATTTTCTTGGATATCATGCATTTCTCTCCGTGAATTAGCATGATGCTACCATGCGCAAGCGTGCCATGCACTTTCTACTTTTACTCTTTATACACACACACTCCTCCGGTACTTATTTTATAGTATAAATTACTACCTCCGGTCTTAATTATAAGACCAAATTGATTTATTTGAGGAGATTAAGGAAGTAAGTTAAGTTAGTTATTTGTAATAAATAAGTGTTGTCATTCCTAAAATATCCTTGCTAATTAAGTATATTGGCTAGAACTATCATTATTAGAAGGATTATTTTGGAAAAAAATGTATAAATATGATAGACAAAATGGATTGGGGTCTTATAATTAGGACCAAACAAAAAGTCAAACAGGGTCTTATAATAAGGACCGGAGGTAGTATATTACAAGATAAGTCTTATATTTAAAACTGAGAAAGTATATATATAATATTAATTTTAATTCTCTAAACGTTTGTGCTATATGCAGGTCGGTCGTTCCCCCGCATTAATTTCTTTGTTAAATTGTTATTGTGAGGGTGGATAGATGTCCCCTCTCATTAAAGACCCAGCAATAACATTGTAGTTCAGTAACATGAAATTTTTTTTTTCTGTAAATGAAATGTTGCGGTTTTAATTGACTTATAATTTCAGGTTTAAATGCAGAAAAACAAAACATTGAGTGAAATTAAAACCTGTGCATGTTCCAATTAAAAAAAAAAGGAGATAGAATGTATATTTTCAGAATTTTATTTGGACGATGGATTAGATAGTAATTTAGATTCCCTGATAAAACCGATTCCGTGGGGCGGAGGGAACCAGGGGCTGAACAGAAGCGGCCGGCGCGTCTCCAAAGTTTGGTTTGGTGGAATATTAAAACAAAACAAAAAGAAAAAAAAAAAAACACCATTGGTTGATTGTGACCCAAGCCAGCAACTCACAACAAAAGTCCGATCCCATCCGCCTACTCCTACCTAGCAAACATTAAAGGTTGTCTGGGAACATTGAAAATATATTTTAAAAATATTTTTTTATAAATTAAGACAAACTTTTTCATATATTTATTTTATATTTGGTTTTCACCTAAACACTTATAAATTGTCTTTTTCTTTGAGAAGCAAAAGTGGGTGATGCTACTTCGCTCCTTAATTATAAATATTATACAAACCTTGTATTGAAATATGAAACATATTTTTGAAACTTTTATTCCCTAAAATTCATTCCCCTCTGCTCTAGCAAACATAGCCTTCGATTCCGGTTTAAGTGGTCCCTTTTTCCTTTTATTTTGTTTAATTTGCTTTTGATAACATGCTCATTTTATTAGGACCCCATTGGCCTACAAGAAACCTATAAATTTCGGAGCACTGTGATCATTCACAAACACATTAGTTAATTGTGCATAATATGATTTAAGAGAGTTTAAAGAGTTTAAAGATTAAAAAAACAAAAACAGAAAGGGAAAATTGCAATTAGGCTTCACCCAAGGGAATTAAATACGAAAAAGTCTGTTGAAATCATAAAATTATTCTAAAGGCTCAAGGGACCTTATTGCAATGCATTTTATTTATTTAATTACTAAATTCTTTTTTAAAGTTTGTATTGACAACTGAAATAGATATGGTTGACAACTTAAGGTACAAAGTTTGACAACCACTGGGGTTGGTATTGACAACTCTTGTATTACATTTTGTGATGTGCTAAGAAAATATGTTGTCAATACCTGCCGTGATAGTTGTCAATCTTTGCACCTTAAGTTGTCAATGCAAACTTAAAAAATAATAATAATAAAGGCAATTTGGTAATTAAATAAATAAAATTTATTGTAAAAAAAGTTTTTTTAGGATTTCAGAATAATTTCATGATTTCAAAGGATCTTTTTATATTTAATTTCTTTAGGTGGGACCTAATTACAATTTTTCCAAAAAGAAAAGTTTATATAAATAACTGCAGGACTAGAAAATGAACGTATTTGATGGTAAAAACTTACCAAAAAGAAAATAAAATATCATCAACTTGCCGATAGGGAGAGGATGCCTACAATGATTTGAGATGGGACAATTGTGATTAGTTGCCGAAGCCCGAAAGAAAAAAAGAAAACTTTAAAGTGCGCTGCGAGATCACATATTAACTTAAAATTTTGAAATGAGATTTTTGACAATTAATTCTGAAATGTAATCTAATAATAGTACTGTGTATCAAGTAATTATATATGCGCAATTAAGTAAGTGATATGTGCGTATTACAACATTGATAAGAAGTTATGGATGTACTAACGGGCGTTGGGTCTAGTGGAAGGGGCTAGTTCCTCACAACATGACGAATCAAGGTTCGAATTTTTGTTGGGAGAAGTGCCTACATTTAGTGTCTGATAGTGCCTCGAATAGAATTACTTCCAATAGGAAGATATCTATGCTTTAGTTAAAAAAAAAGAAGTTATGGATGTTCCAATAATTAAAAAAATGTGTAGATATAAATAATATAATATCAGTTTCTATAGCACGAGTATTTTATTTAGACGAAGGATTAGAATTACGAATTGTTTTAATTTTGCTTGAAACATGGAATGTAATATATATGGAATGTGTGTGTGTCTTTGTTAATTAAATTAGACAATTTTACTTTCAGCCCTTAATATAATAGTTAGATAACCTATTTGAGAATATTAAGGAAATTGATTAAGTTAATTGTTTTTTACAAATGTGTGTTGATCTTTATAAACTATTTTCGATTATGTACATTAGATAATTAGAATTATTCCTTGACGAGAACTCCTTACAATCAGCAGGGATATTTTGAGAGCAGATGAAAAATAAAATGAATTGACACTTTCTATTTAGAACCAAATTTAACCACCAACTAAATCTGATATTAAGGACCAAGCAGTATAATGATGAAAATGAATAATGTGATGTTGGTAGCAAAGGGAAAAGTCAGCAAATAAAGGAGCATAGACATGTATTTTGCACGATGGAACCAAAACGAGGGGTGGCACCGACTAGCATTCATGATCATTAACATATTCATGGGTGATGCGTAAGGCCTAAAGCACTAATTAAAGCTGGGAAAATTATGAAATACTCCTCTGATCCTTAATATAAGATCCATTTAACTAATTTGATTAAATTAAAGAAGTTAGGTAAGTTAGTTAATTATAAGAAAAGTGACACATTTTTTCTAAAACACCATAATCATATTTCTTAATACCTCCTCTCCCTCTTCTACTTGATTATGGTTGAAGGAGTATCCATAAGGATAATTTAGAGAAAATTGATAAATATGATAAATGAGTTTTATATTTAGGACCAAAACCAACTCAAGAATTCGGTCCTATATTAAGGACCGGAAGAGTGTAAAAACATTGCATGATGAACTGCTCGCAATGAGTACAAGTAGGAACTAATAAATTCAAGAATGTGGATGGAGATATCATGGATTAGATTTTGCTGGCAAATATAAATAAATAAGACTCAACGATAATAGTCATCCTGGTTCACAATGTAAATCACTTGCGCTTGTGAATCTGGAATTAATAATTTCATCATTTTGCAATTAAGGAAAAAAATTGTCATCTTCCAGGTCCAACCAACATCTTAAAATAAAACGTCATGATAGAAATGACCTAACTTTACCTTGTTGAAATTAATTGTAATTTATTGTTGATGACAACTAGTTTAGTGCCCGTGCAATGCACAGGTATGAATTGGTGGTTTCTTTTATACAAGATAAAAGCTGAATAACCACAACTTAATTTAAAATAAAATATCATTAAACTTTTGAAATTTGCAGTACAGGTAGATCCATTATCAACATTTTTAGAAAGATGCTATATATGTAGGTATATAAATGGATGTTCCTTTAAAAAGACTGAATTAATAGAGATAAAAGGGTTAATGGATTGAAACTCAAATATTTGATTACATTCAATAATTACACAGATAATGTCATGGTCAATAATATTATATTGGACAAATATGATATCTGATTCTGTATTGTAAAAGTATGCTATTTAATATAAGAAAAATTAATGGAGACAAAATCGTTAGTGTACTAAAATATTTTGAATTAGATTTCAAAATAATTCCAAATACAAACTTTCAAAGTATCTTTAGATAATATAAGATAATTCGAATACTCATTCATATCATAAATAAAAAATAATAAATATTTCAGGTATAAATAATAGTTTAGATTTAGGGCGTATGATATTATTTTCAATATATTAATGGACTAGTTGAAATTGAATTTCAAGCATAATTAATTTTAAATAATACCATCAAATTTCAAATTTTGAACATATATCATGCCCGCATATATGCCACGATTTTTGGGATAAGAGAAGTTATACAATTTTATTTATTTTTCTTAATTTAAAATATTTGCATATAAAGGATATTTTGGTTTTTACAAAAAATAGAAAAAATAAGGCTCATTATTGGAGATAATTGCAATAAATTCTGTAATAAATCAGAATTAATTGAATTAATCAAAAAATTATAAAAAAGTAGATTTATCTACCATTAACAAAAATCATTATTTTGCAAAAATAAATAGAAAGACATGAAACATGCACTCAAATAAATATAATCGAATTAATTCCCAAGAAAAATGCATAAATAGAAAGATCATGGTTAGAAATGTGGCTTTAACAAAAATAAAAAAT